GTCCCCTCATATCAGAGAAGTTACCCCTTTTAAAGTTAAAAGTGGTTGTGTCAGTCTTTTTGGGCAACTCCCAATTTATACAAATGTTGAACTCAATAACTTTATGGTCACTGTTCCCAAGTGGTGCAATCACTTTTACATCTCTCACCAGGTCTTGGGCATTACTTAGGACCAAATCCAGGATCGCCTCTCCCCTGGTGGTTCCGTGACCATCTGCTCCATAGCACAGTCATTAAGAGTGTCTAGAAACTCAATCTCTTTTTCCTGACTAGAACACATATTGACCCAATCAATGTGTGGGTAGTTAAAATCACCTATTATGACACAGTTTTTTTGTCTAGCCGCTATCTTTAATTCATTCATCATTTTATAAATTCTGTGACCATCTGCTCCATAGCACAGTCATTTAGAGTGTCTAGAAACTCAATCTCTTTTTCCCGGCTAGAACACATATTGACCCAATCAATGTGTGGGTAGTTAAAATCACCTATTATTACACAGTGTTTTTGTCTAGTTGCTATCTTTAAGGCATTCATCATTTTATAATCCTCCTCTATCTTTTGATCTGGTGGGCGATAACAAACTCCCAGTGTTAAGTTTCCTTTTGGCCCCCCTATTTCAACCCATAGAACTTCCAGAAGCGAATTCAATTCTCTTAGCCTCTCAATCTGACATACAGAGCTACCCCACCTCCAACCCTTCCCCCCTATCCTTCCGATATAATATATAACCGGAAATAACCGTATCCCACTGATTTTCCTTATCCCACCAAGTTTCTGAAATACCCCCAATGTCTATTTTCCCCCCTAACACCAAGCACTCCAACTCCCCAATTTTACCTCGGACACTTCTAGCATTTGTATAGAAACAACTATAATCTCCCATACATGTTAAGCCTGCAACCTTCCTCTTGCTCTCTTGAGACTTTGTCAGGCAGTCTCGTGACAAGTAGAGACCGTCTCTTCTGTACAGCTCCCTCTTGTTCCAAAAAGTATCCCAGTGCCTAACAAAGGTGAACCCTTCCCCCCACACCATCATCTCATCCACGCATTGAGACTCCTGATCTGTGCCTATCTCTCTGGCCCTGCACGTGGAACAGGTAGCACTTCCAAGAAGGCTACCTTGGAGGTCCTGGCCTTGAGTTTCCTGCCTAGCAGGCTAAATTTTTCCTCCAGGACCTCGCGACTGCATTTCCCCACATTGTTGGTGCCAACATGGACCATGACCACTAGCTCCTCCCCGGCACTATCTACCAGCCTATCTAGAACATGCGTAATGTCCACTACCTTCACACCAGGCAGGCAAGTCACCATACGGTCAGTATGCGGTTTCACCACCCAGCTGTCTACCTGCCTAAGGATCAAATCACCAACTACCAAGAGCCCCCTCCCTCCCTGCCCAGGGATGGTTCCCTGGTGCAAAAGGATACCAGTTCAACAGCTGAAGAAGAGGTCCCTTCTGAGGGCACATTCTCCTTATCCTCAGCATGATCCCCTGTTCCCTCTCAACCCTCATACTCCCTGGCAGCAGCGGGGCTGCCATAACCAGAGTGGGACATAACTAGCAAGTCCCCAAGAGTCTTCTCCATATGCCTAACTGACTGTCTCTGCTTCTCCAGGTCAGCCACCTTGGCCTCAAGGGAACAAACTCATTCCCTGAGAACCAGGAGCTCCTTGCACTGAGCACACACCCAAGACTTCTGTCCTCATACATGTGACACTCTGTGCAGTACACTGGATAGCCCCCAACCCCCTGCTGGCATTCTGGCTTCATAACTGCTTTTTTAAACAATAATTATATATAATGCCCCTTTAAAACCCTTTATGTGGTTCTCCTTGTAGAAGTCTACTTACCTTACTGGGAACCCAAGGAGACTAGGGCCCTGGCTTTCTGGCTCTTCCTGGGTTTCTTACAGAGCCCCTAGTCTAAGAATCCCTAGGTGAAGTGCCACAGGCCAAGAGCCTCACCCTTCGGGTCATGCCTCTGGCAAAGTGCTGCCTTAAATAGAAGCTTCCCCTCAGCAGAGGGTGTGGCCAGCAGCTATGCAAATTCACCCAGTCACTCACAGTCAAACAATTACCCTTTCACACCCTATCTCAGGCAGCCAGGACTCCGCAACAACTCAGAACTCACTCACACACTCCCAAACACAGTCCCCCACACAGTACCCTCTCAGCTAAATCACCTCAGCTGAAAGTAAGTAAAAAAAAAAACTCACCCCTCTAGCAGCTCTATCTCCTGCTCCTTCTCAAAGCTCAGCTGGGTCAGCTCTGCTTCTGGCAAGGTGCTTCCAAGGGAGTTTAACAACTTTTCTGAGCTATACTTCAAAGATTACTGCTTTATTTGCAAATTTGCACTTAATCAACAGTTGTCTTGGCAACCACTGAAACTCTGTGAAATCTATGTTGCATCTTTCTACCCAGTTGGAGAAGAAGACAGGGTGTTTGAAAGGTTTGTAAAAGAAACAACACAGAAAAGCCTAAGGCATATATGTTTTCTACAGATGAATGCTGTGCACTATTACTGTCACAATAACCATTCCCAAATAAAACCAACTGTGTCTGACAGGACAAACAGTACTGACAGCCACAAATCTGCCTCAGCTTTAAAAAGCTGATAGACAATTTTAAAAAGCAGATAGACACCTATACAATAAAAGCACCCTGTGTCTCCCATTTACAAACAGCAAGGTTGCCAACAAGAACAGCCACCGCTGAGACGCCTTATCTCTTTCAAAATAACCAGTACCTGCCTAAATAAATGGTAACTGTGATGACTGCTCCAAAGTCAGCAACCTGTGTCTCCACCGTGGTTCAGAAGCCTGAGAGGAGAGCGGTCAACAAACCCACAAATAATCTTCAGTTCATGCGCAGGTGAAAAAAAATTGTGTGTACCTTACATTTTGAGAGGGACAGTCCACTCAAGCAAAAAGTCTTGCAATTGTTAATAGCTAAACACTTGACAATTGTCCCAAGCTAACAAACCGTCAGAACTGTACACATTACATAAACACAGCTATTCCTAACAAAAGGAATAACTTAAAAACATGGAAATCATAACAGGATTACCTTAAAAAAACTAAAAAACCATTTACTCACATAAAAGAACAACAAAAGAACAAAATTTACTAATAGAAAATACTTTCAGAAACACTAACAGAATAGGTCAAGCTGAAACAATATTAAAATTGTAAAAGAAAACATACTTTACAAAAGCTGTGCTATAGTTATTCTATTAAAAAATGCTGCTTTTTGGGTTAGGCTACGGAATTAATAGGGTTGCCAGATCCCTTCATTTTGCTGGTGGGGGAATTTGGCAGGTGTTCCAGGGGTGGGTGGGGATGGTGCGCTGGTAAAACTGGCCTCAAACCATAAGAATTTTGCCCCAAAAGCTGAACATTGCCCCCCGACAACACTAATGCATTGACGTCATTTCCAGGTGATGTCAGCACATTGCATGTGGCATCGCTGTTTGGGGGTGGATGAGGGGAATTTCCTCCCACCAACCAGCTGGCCAGTGGCAGGCAGGAGTCCGCAAAGGTGGGGGATCCCCCGCCCCCACCCGGGGAATGATTCTAACTATGTGACTGAACCTTATAGCTCTTCCAGGAGGAAAACTGCTCAGGTATTTCATTGTTCCCAAGAACCCCACTCCATGCCAATGATAATCCCTATTAGTTCAAATGGCACACAAGGCAGATTAGCAGCATAAAAAGAGTGTGCCACTGCATTACAACCAACTCATGGCAACCCCATTCATAGGGCACTCCAGGTAAGAGACAAGCAGTGGTGGTTTGCCATTGCTTTCCTCCACATAGCAACCCCAACAGAGGAACTGGTTAAATGTTCTATTACAGAGGTAGCTCTTAGACTTTTACTTTGCAGTTCTGGTTTAGTGCTAAATTGTGCATGCTTTGATGAACATAATTTATGTGTTCTTATCATTACAATCAGTGGCTGAGAATTCTTGACCTTTATAAGAATCGGACCCTTCCTTTATATATTCTCCATATTTCCATGCATAGATCCCCCAAATTATAACTCAGTTTTCTTCAAAGGAAAAACCTTGTTAATTAGTTTTGAACTTTAGTAGCAACCTGATTATTAAACACAACATACCAATTTAATGAAAGGGGAGCATATGCTGAAAAGAGAAAGCCATGCATTGTCCTTACCTGTTCCAAGTTAGAATTCTTGTTGGAAATGTCCTTTAATTCAGTGAAGAACATCTGCCGGAGATCCTCCATTTCCTTTTGAAACTTTCTCTTCTCCTCTTCTTTCCAGCTTTCAAATTTCTTCCTTCCCTCTTCTTCTCTTTGGTGAATATTCTCTGCTTCCTGCCAAGAAAATAACAACAGGGAATGGGCTAGGAAGAAAGAACTGAAATTATAGAATGGTTGGAGCTGCTTCCAGAAGCCTCAGCTCAACAGGCACTCAAATTAATCATGGTCTCCAAGGCAGACAAGATAAGAACACTGAAACATTTGAACAATTAAAGAGAACATTTAAAATTATAAAATGATCCAATAACATGTAAACAACATCACGACCAGGGGAAAGGCCAATAATCATTACTGATGGTATGCCTGAAAAGTACTGAGACTGATGAGTGATTACAGCTCTCATACTTTTATTAGTGCAGAACAAGACAACTTTAGCTGGCTCGCAGGCCGGCTTATATTCTGTGAAAACCACACCCCCAAAACACACCGCCACACCATAATAGGCTATTTACAGTGGCCGAGAGTTCCATGGGCTCAGATTGGTGCGGGCTGGGATCCACTTAGTCCATTGTTCGCTGGAGTGAAGCTCCGAGGTTTAGCAAGACCGCGTGGAGCCCCCGGGTGCCACGCGGTCGGGACTGAATACATTACAATGCCAAATGAAAGAAAGAAGCTTTCACCCACTGGAAGAAGTTAGACAGAGAGACAGATGAATCTCTCTGGAGATGGGGTTCCTAAGTTGGATCCATTTGGATACTCAGGGCCAAATTAAATGTTACAGTTTTTAAAGAGGTGGGTCTGCATTCTTTGGACCTAAATCCTATTCCCTGCAGTCACACAGCAGTTGCAGGGAATGGCGTTTATAAAAGTACTGTAGGGGGAGAAAGGACTTTGCCTCTTCCCAAGCTGTATGGTTACACAAAAACCATGCTGGGGGGAGTCCCCCCCCCCCATTTTGCTGCTCCATGTGGAGTATCTGTATATGTGGAACATCAAAATCAGGGAAATCACTCCCTCACCAGGACAGGTTTCACATAGGAAAATGGTTTGGGAAGGGTCAGGAGCCCTTGGCCACCCCCAATTTTTAAAAACCCGCTCCCCACAGTTGCTGTGTGGCTGCAAGAAGAAGAGAAGGATTGAATTTATATCCCGCCCTTCACTACCCAAAGGCGTCTCAGAGTGGTTTACAAACTCCTTTCCCTTCCCCTCCCCACAACAGACACCCTGTGAGGTAGGTGGGGCTGAGAGAGCTCTGACAGAAACTGCTCTTTTTCAAGAACAGCTCTTATCAGAACTATGGCTTGCCCAAGGTCATCCAGCCAGGTACAAGTGGAGGAGTGGGGAATCAAACCCGGTTCTCCCAGATTAGAGTCCACGCACTTAACCACTACACCAAACTGGTAAGGAACATGAGATTCCCTGGACCCAGCTCTTTAAAAATCGTAACGTTTTGTTTGGCTCTTAGTATGGCACCAACAAAGAACAATTCCAGAAATAGGAAGGGACTAAAACTACACATTCTCATGGTTTCATACCTGAGTCCTGCGCTGGCTCTCAGCCTCCAGTTGGGCATGGGTCTCCTTCAGCTTGATCTTCAGTGTTTCAATCTCATTTTCCATTTGCTCCACCTGTTTTTTCTTCTCCATCTCTACAAAGTTGATTCAGAAAAAAGGGCCATTAGTGAGAGCCTTCAGCTGCATACACTTTTACTATCAGTTAGGTATCAGCTCCTCTTCATTCTTAGAATAAAATAAGGTTTTTTTACCAAAGATGGGACACATTTTGGCAGGAAAAGCCACACAGTTAGATACATGTTCATCTACTGGGCAAGAAAACAAACAAAATGTTGTATTTCTCCACACTTTTCATTTTTAATGTTTTTGGGGAAAGCAATTAACTTTTTGATGTTGTGTATCAAATAGTTCAATGCTTTCATGAGTATGATGAGTCTGAAATTCCAAACTTTGGCTTTTTAAATTCAAATCCTAATTTATGTCAAAAACATAATGATGTAAAAAAAATAAAACACTCTAAGTGAAAAGCAATTCACCACAGAAAGCTGGATCCTGCTGATCTATTCTGCTAATGGTGAGTTAAGACTCTTCTCCACTTTAAGGCCTCTTCACTTGACAAAGAAGGCTCTACAGGAGATTCCTTGTGCCAAAGAACAGATCTGTGGGATCCAAGTTACGTGTTTAATACCATTGCCTTTTCTCACTTATACACAGACTAGGAGAAAGGCCCATTGCAGGTATGAATACAACGGGCGCTAGCGGGTGTGTGGGGGTGGTCTGGGTCCGCGCGTCAGTGGGGCACCCCCCGTCGCAGGCGTCCCGGAGAGTGGGCCTGGCTTGCGCAGGCAAGTAACCTTTTAAAGCGGTGCCGGCGAGAAGCGAAGGGCATGGGGAGGCTGACCTCGGTGGGTCATGTCCTGTCGGCGCGCAGTCCAGGCCAGACGTGGAGAGGGCGGGTGTTCGGCGAAATGGGAGCTCCTCGCAGCCGAGGCAAGGTGGGCAGGAAGAGGCTATGTCCGCCGCCGCCTCGAAGGGCGAGGGAGCCGCGGTGGTTGGGGTCGGTGGCAGCAGTCGTGGGGGGCTCGCCTGGCCCCCGAGGGAGGAAGGCAGTGGTCTTGGGGGGACTTGCCACCATGTGTCGCTGGAGCGCGCAGTCATCCCCTCCGAGGTGGGCAGGCGGGACCGGGCGCGAGGCTTTGGGCCTGGCTGGCCGCCTCAGGAAGAAGCGTGGCCGGCCAAAAGAGTCCTCTCTGCCGCGTCCTGCGGCCGTCGCACACGGCAATGGGGATCCCCTGAGGCCCTAGCTCCTCTCCGACCGCCCACCCACCCGGCCCCCGGTGGTCAGATGGTGAAGCGGGGGCGGCGGAGTGGGGCCCGGCCCCCCTGGAGAAGTGGCCGCAGTTACCGTGGTGCAGGGTTCGGCGGCACAGGGAAGGTGGACACGGCAAGCCCCTTCCCGCTTGCCTTGGCTAGTGGGGGGGGGAGTGCTCCGAGGTGGGAGTTAGGCGCGACGTCCAATGGACGCCGGGGAAGGTGCTGACGGACAGGGCATTAATCCACACACTGTAGGTGCACATTTGCGTGCGTCTGCGTCTTGGGGGGGGGAATGCTCCGAGGTGGGCGTTAGGCGAGACATCCAATGGACTCCGGGGAAGGTGCTGACGGACAGGGCATTCATCCAAACACTGTAGGTGCGCATTTGTGTGCCTCTGCGTCTTACTCAATTATTATAAGGGAGAGATTAAGCTGAATTGTGACCACAAGTCATAGTGAACATACAAACATCACGGCTGTTGACCTATTCTGGAGAAAATGTCTTATCATGCTTGCAGCTAAATTTCTTCCTAATCTTTGTATGTTTGAATGAATGTCAATTTGTGAATATTGCAGAATTTGGGGTTACATGAGCCTGGGCCTTTCTGTTTTTCTATGCTATGTAGGTTTTGCTATATCTGACTCTGATTTCTTGGTTCAGAAGTTCCATAAGCTTCTACTTTGGTGGCAGCCTAGGCATAAAAACTAAAGTCTTACCCTGTAGGTGTACCTTTGCCTGAATTCACATTACACAGCCTTTCAAGTGACAGGCTCCAAAGCCTAAACATATATGTCTAGGTCTTTTTGACATCACAGTTAATAAAATATATCTGGGCTAAAGTTCATACTAGCAAAAATTATTGTTATCAGCTTAGGATGGGCTGGTATTTGGCAAGTTTGGTATATTTTAATTGACTCCTCACCAGATTCCTATTGGCTGAAAAGAGTGTAAAAAGGAGGCTCGGGGCTTCATTTGGGGCAGTTTGGCCAACACCCCACCTAGGCTTGAGTGAGGTCTTTGGAGAACATAGGCTGTGATCATACCCACAATTAGACCTGACATAGGTGCGAATGCCAGGCGGATTTAAAGGGAGCGATCAGACAACATCTGGGAAATGTCCAGCAGCTGTTGGCAACCTGTTTTGCTCTGCCGCAGAAGTGGAGTTAAAAGACACCGGGGAAAATCCAGTAGTAAATGGGTTGCAACGGGCCATGGAAGGACTTTCCCCTGTCTGATCGCTCCAGCGTGCTCTCATGGCATCGGGATGGTCTGATCAGGCCATCCTGACTCCGTGCCATTGTTTCCCCCTCTTCGCAGTATGCTAGGGTTGCCAAATGAAATTCGTCTGGGAGCGGGGGGCTCCCGGACGGCGTCCTCTTTGTGCGCGCGTAGCGTGCACGCCCCGCGTGCGTCACCCGGAAGTGACGTCACATGCTGGGGGCGGGGCGACGCCATTTGAAGGGAAAACAAAGAGTTTTCCCCTCAAATGGCGTCGCCCCGCCCCCAGCGTGTGATGTCACTTCCGGGTGATGCACGCGCGGGGGTGGGGTTTCCCCTGGGCCCTGATTCTGCAGGAGCGGGAATCGGGGCTCGAAACCGGGGGGAATTCTGCCCCCCAGGGGGATTTGGGACCCCTACAGTATGCGCATCATCATAAACTCCATAGGGAGCCCTTCGTGTGGAGGTGCGATTAATCAATTCCTATTGTAAGTGCATGGGAAACAAATGGCACACACACACACCCCACTCACCTCTAGTTGCATCTGATCACACACTGATGGGCTGTGCCCACAGGGAGGTATGATCTCACAGTAAAGGTAAAGGTTTCCTTTGCTTGAAAGCCAATTGAATCCAACTCTAGGGGGCAGTGCTCATCTCCAAGCCGAAGAGCTGTCCGAAGAAGTCTCCGTGGTCATGTAGCCAGCGTGACTAAACGCTGAGGCGCACGGAACGCTATTGTCTTCCCACCAAAGCAGTACGTATTTACCTATTTGCAATTTCTTGCATTCAAATTGCTAGGTTGGCAGGAGCTGGGGCCAGAGATGGGAGCTCACTCCGTCCTACGGCACTCGGGTCTCAAACTGCCGAACTACAGACCTTCCAGTCTGCAGCTCAGCATCTTAACCTCTGAGCGGGACAAATTCCTCCAGAGGAAATAGCTTCGCTTCCCCCCGTTTTATCTGCGTGTGTGACCACACCCTAATATAAATAAAGATAAGTGGTAAACTTTCTGTTATCTGTGAAGAGCTAGTTCAAAGACCCATTTTTAATACAAAAGGGTACTTCTCCAACCCATGAGTTCAGGTCAGAAAATATCTGACAGAATAATTAGTGGAAACCACTGGAAAAAGCTTCAGAAACACAGGATTGGATTCACCTACTTTCCCACAGTGAAAAAACAAGGAGGACCCCTTTGACCACCAAAATATCTATGCTGGGAATCATGGGTCTTGCACAGTCAAAACCCATGTGGGATAGGGGCTGTAGTAAGGAGGAGAATTAAGTGAGACTGGGGGTGGTGGTGGCTGGATTAAACCTACAAATAGATATCAACCAAGGATGTGTATTTGTAAAATCAGATTTATGAAATAGTCATCCAATTATCACCCTTGCCCTAAACAATCTTCTGAAGGTGCTGCAACTTAAAGGATTATTTCAGGAAAAACAAAAACAACTCCTCATCACCACATTTGGCTTGCATTGCCCTCCACCGGGGAGTTTAAGGAGCAAATATCCAGGCAAACTCCCAATGCTCACCAGCTTCAGAGGCTTCAGAGTGCCTGCGTTTCATGTGTGCTTGAAGGTAGGAATAGTTCATGAAGCTCTTGTCACACAGTTGGCACTAGGCAAAGTTATAGGAAGAGAAGAAAAATAAATAAAGGCCCAAGGTGGAAAAACTCCCCAAATCACTTGTCATTTTCCCTCTCTCCATGCTTTCATAGAACAGGAAGGGCTCAAAACATGTATATGTTACTAGCCTGAAACCTGTGCTTTGCTACAGTATTTAAGTTCCGTAAACCCAGCTCTTTGCTTAAGGACAATTCTATTGAGGACATTTGGCAAAACAAACACAGGAAAGCAATTTCTGGACCAGAAATGTATACCACAAAAACACCACTTGGCACGTGATTACACTGTTGGAGGCCTCATTTGTACTTTTATTCTGTGCCTAGTGGTCTCATTTTGGAACAACTTTTTTTCTGGTCCCTATTGATTTTATATCTTGTATCTGCATGATTGTATTGTATTTGTATATTAGCCAATATGTTCCTCGTTATATTTAACCTCTGAAGAAGGCTTATGCAGGCCGAAACGCATCAGGTCAAATTTATCAGCCCTTGTGTGTTATAATCTGCTATTTGTACATGAGGTGTAATTGGGCCCTTTTATATAGTTTTTAAATCTTTGTTTAATAAATGCATGTATCGTTTTATATATTTCATATATTAAGCTTTTATTGTTGGCCCTCTTGCATTTGACTAACCTTTAGGTTCTGGATTCTAGGTTCAGTTCCCCACCCCTTTTTTTTGTCCCAGGACCTCTCTATAGACCACAGTGGTGGTTCTGCCCTCAGGTGCTAGGATCACCAGGCTGCTTGGTGATAGGGTTGCCAAATCGACTTACCTCGCCGGCGGGGAACTCTGGGGTGGCTCCCAGCGCGCGCACACCGTGTGCACGTCACAGGCAAGTGACGTCATGACGCCGGGCATGCTGGGGGTGAGCCACAGCCATTTGAGGGGAAAACATAGAGTTTTCCCCTCAAATGGCTGTGGCCCCACCACCAGCGTGCCTGGCATCATGACGTCACTTGCCTGTGACGTGCACGCGGGGGTGGGGTTTCCCCTGGGGCTCGATTCCGCGGGGGTGGAAATCGGGCCTCCAAAGCGGGGGGAAATCCACCCCCCGGGGGGAATTGGCAGCCCTACTTGGTGATTTCACTCTAGAGCAGGCAACATAGAACTGCCCATTTAAGAAGTAGTTGTTTGTTAAGTCAACTCCTGCCACCTTCTATGAAAGTGATGGCCTCTCTACTTGTGTTCCTGGATTGTTTTGCTCATATGGAGACATTGTTGTTCTGAGCACCTCAGGGTGATCTCACTGGTACTTGGCCTGTGCAGCTCAGTGCTCCGCAGGAGTACTATGTGCAAATGTCTTTGCTGCCTGTGCAGTTGCCTCCTCCTGGTAGCACTGGTGTATCTGGCTTGATGTTTGCCAGGAGCTTTCTTGGGGGCAGTAAGATGTGAGAGGTGTGAGGGGGAGTTGGTGTGAGGGAGTGGTGATGTGGTGGACACTTCTTCAGGTTTGTGAGGGAGGAATGCATCGAAATGGCTCCTAGAAAGGTCCTTTACTATCTCCCCATGAACATTCATTAACTCAATTGCCATGCTGGCTTTTTTGAAAAATGTCTATTCAGGAGTCTTGAATCGTTGATTTTTGTAACTGTCCTCAACTGTCTGCAGGCTCTTTTAACTGCACTCAGAGGGAGGTGAGTGCAAGAGGCAGGTTTTACCGCAGAACTCTGAGCTACACAGTTGACCATTGGGTGGGGGGGGGCAAGGAGGCAGAAGCCTGCCAGGCGCATGGAAAACAATTGAGGGAACACATTTTGCCCCCTTTTTACCCCCTTAGGGGTCATGTTTCTCAGAAATCTCTTTGTGGGAGGCTTGACATCATGGTAGGAATGCACTCCCCTTATTTTGGGTTTCTTGGTGCAGGGGTTTGGCCTGGGCATTTAATTGGGGGGGAGGGCATGCCCCCCCTTTTTGTTTTTTTACAAAATTGTCTCTCATTTATGTTACATTTAGGAGTGGGACATAAATACGTTTTCAAAACACCATCTGAGCAATCAGATACTAAGCAAGTTCATATGAATCTGATGAAGTACCCTGGCCCTGCTCCTACACCTGACAGACACCTGCCTGTCTGGTGTTGGGGGAGTGTGTTTAAAGGTATTAGGGAAGCTGGGCCAGCAGCAGCGCTAAGGTAATCCTGCTGAGCAAACCTCCCCGGTGGCTGTAAGCATCCCACCTCCTCTCCTACCTACACCTGACAGGCAGCTGCCTGTCCAGTGCAGGAGGGGGAGGAGGAAGGAGTATTAGAAGCCACTGTGAAGGCTGGGCTGGCAGGATCACTAAGGTGTTACTGCTGGGGGGGGCTCTCTGGTGGCTTTACGCACCCTGCAACTGCTGCTGCACCTGACAGACAAAGGTGAGGGAGGTGTTTGAAGCCATGGGAAGGCTGGGCCAGCAGCACTGCTGCACCTCATAGGTGGTTGTTGGCCATTCCTGATTTCCTCAACTGTCATTAGCTCTCTGCAGTCTGCTGTAACTGTTCATTTTTTTACCTCAGAACACTGAGCTCTGCAGCTGACCAATCAGAGAGTGGGGGGTGCAAGTAGGCTGCAGCCTGGCAGCCTTATAGGAATCAATGGGGGAGCACATTTTACCCCTTTTGACCCACTTAGAGGTTGAATTTCTAAAAATCCCTTCTTAGTGAGCACCTACGCCATGGTAGGAGCGCTCTCCCTGAATCTGGTGCTGGGTGTTGATTTTATGGTGAGGGAACTTTCTTTTATATATATAGACTAGCCAGATACCCATGCTTTGCTATGGTATTTAAGTTCCGTAAATCCAGTTATAATACTGATGATGTGAAATCTGAAATGTGACATTTGTTGTAGGAATTCTAATGGAGAAGATTTTAGTGTAAGAAATGAAGTGAGACATATGTACTTTCCCCCCTCTCTACTGAGGGACCTCTTTCTAGACCACATTGGTGGTTCTGCCCTCAGGTGCTAGGATCACCAGGCTGCTTGATGAGCTCACTCTGGAACAGGCCACATAGAACTGTCCATTTAAGAAGCAGTTGTCTGTTAAGTCAACTCCTGCCGCCTTCCACTAAAGTGATGGCTTCTCTACTTGTGTTCTTGGATTGTTTTGCTCATATGGAGACTGTGTTGTTCTGAGCACCTCAGGGTGATCCTGCTGGTACTTGGTCTGTGCAGCTCAGTGCACTGCAGGAGTACTATGTGCAAACGTCTTTGCTGCCTGTGCAGTGTAGGATGGGGAGGGGGGAGTAGTATTAGAAGCCACTGTGGAGGTGGGGCTGGTAGGATCACTAAGGCGTTACTGCTGGGGCAGACTCCCTTGTGGCTTTAAGCACCCTGCAACCACTGCTGCACCTGACAGACAACCGCCTGTTAGGTGTAGGAGGTGGGGGGAGTGTGTTGGAAGCTATCAGAGAGGCTGGGCCAGCAGCTTTGCCTCATCTCACAGGTGGTTCTTGGCCACTCCTGATTTCCTCAACTGTCATTAGCTGTCTGCAGTCCCCTGTAACTGTTGTCTTTTTTTTACCTCAGAACACTGAGCTCTGCAGCTGACCAATCAGAGTGTGGGGTGCAGAGAGTCAGCTGCTTGGCAGCCGCATAGGAATCAATGTGGGGAGCACATTTTCCCCCTTTTGACCCACTTAAGGGTCGAATTTCTAAAAATCCCTTCTTAACAAGCACCTATGCCATGGTAGGAGCACTCTCCCAAATTTGGTGTCTCTAGGTCCAGCGGTTTGGCCCGGCTGTTGATTTTACAGTGAGGGGACTTTCTTTTATATATATAGATGGGAACCCAGCTAGCCTGATCTCATCAGATCTCAGAAGCTAATCAGGGTTGGCCCTGGTTAGTACTTGGATGGGAGACCACCAAGGAAGTCCAGGGGTACTATGCAGAGGTGGGCGAGGGCAAACCACCTGTGAAAGTTGCTTGCCTTGGAAGCCCTATGGGGCCACCATCAGTTGCCTGCGACCTGACAGTACTTTCCACCACCACCACAGTGGAATAGCAGTCCCACTATCTGAGAAACCTCTGTTCATAACAAGAAGCTGTTTAATACAAAAACTTATCTGAAAAAATTCAGAGTGGTACAACCAACAACGAAATGCTTGTTTTATTCCTGCTTGTCTTTTGACCTATCTTTTTGCCTGGTCTTTCAAAAGAAAAGTAGCAACTGGCTACTGCTCAAAGCTAACCCACTGCTACAAAGTTGCTGTAGAGGTGCCATAAAGGAAATGGCTGAAAAATGCAGTAAAACACAATAATCCAACCCCCAGTCATATTGTAGAATTCGCCATCTTCAGCTGAAAAGTTAGCCTTTTCTCTATGTTTACTTTTACTTCCCTCCAGACCCCGCCCCTCAAAGACTACAAGGTTATTTGGACAATCAGGTCTATCAACTGGAGTAGATATAAAGGAAACAAATTACTCATGTTTTATTCATAGGAGTTGATTTTGAATAAAGCAGCCAGGGCCAGATTAAGACATGCTTAACTCTAAATTATGTCCAGTTTAAAAGGCCTCATACTAGGGTTGCCAACTTCCAGGTGGGGTTTGGAGATCTCCTGGAAGTACAAGTGATCTCCAGACCACAAATTAGCTCCTCTTGAGAAAGCAGCTGCTTGGAGGGTGAACTCTATGATATTATACTCCTTGAGCCCCCCCTCCCCAAACCCTACCATCACCGTTCACACCCCTAAAATCTCGCAGAATTTCCCAGCCCAGAGTTGGCAATGCTATCTCATACCATTACCCCCCAAATTGTAATCTAGCAATTTTTTTGTATTTAAAGCTCCCCCCCATAATTGAAGGTCTTAAACTTTAGCTTGTGCATAAATCCACCTCTGAAAGATGCTGTACTTGCATAGGCTGAATTCCACCTGTCCCAGCAGAACTCACCTTGTGGTAGTTATTAGCCCCAGCTTGCAAAAGAAACTGCTGGGTGGAAATCATCTTCTTCCGTCTCCTGCTTTCTTCTTTTACATGCTTCAGCTCTTCAGCTTGCTTATCCAAGTCACGCTTGACACGCTTGAGGTCATCTAGAGTGGCCTGCTGCTGCTCTTCCTGTAGTGTCAGACTCATGCTCAAGTACTCCTGGGAGTGCAGCAGGTATTCGATGGTCAGCTGAGCCATCTTTAGAACCTTTAAGAGAACAGGGTCTACTGGCTGCTGACAGTAGGGACATTTCTCTGCATCTAGGTTGCAAAAGGTGATGCTGTTGATGTTCTCCTGGAGGGTTGCAAGATCCAGCTCACGAGCCACTCGCTCCACATCAATGGCACTGAAGCGTCGCCAATCAACAGTATCTCGACGTGACTGGAATTTAAAGGTTGGGATTCCACCAAGACTGGCCAGCATGTTTCCAAAGAGATCCCCACTGCTTGGGCAGTTCATAGGAAACACAGATCCTGGAATACCAGACCAGTAGCATCTGGCTACAGGTGGTAGTAATGGGTAGTAAATATTATATGCAAAAGGCTGGGGGGGGGGAGGGAAGAGAATATAGATAGGTTACAGCTGAAGCAAATGGTTAATAGCATGCTTGCAACATAGTATATTTGTGCATTTGAAGATATAATCAAATACTTTATGAAGTTAACAAAAGTAATTTCATGTGACATTCCATAGTTTGGGAACGTAGCAGTCCACTGTAGCATTCAGGGCTGCTTCAGGTTCTGGGTGGCTCTAAGCACTGCCTGAAGTGGTTGTTCCTCCTCCTCCTCTGAGCCCACTTCACCCAGGCAGACACAGAGGGCAGGTAGCAATGGCTGCTGTTGTTTGCCATTGCTTTCCCATTAAGCAACCACAGAAACAACTGAAGAAGGAAGGCCTTGCTATCATTCTTCTGCCTGTTTGAAAAGCTTACTGAAAAGACTTTCTAGATCTGTGCATGTGTCCAACACAAAAATAAGTGGTATGCTTATTCCTAGTAAAAATTAAGACATTTATGTATGAGAAGGAAAGAGATGGGAATAAAAGGATACAGGTCTAATGGTCTAATGGTCAGAATCAAAGGTCAAACTCAAAACAGACAAAATTAAAGCATAAAAAATAAGCACTAGCCAGAATTGCCAGTATCTTAAGGGCTAAATTAAACAATGCATTTTTTTACAAGTTGTGTGCGGGTTCAGGATGCAGGATAGGGCTCCTGCTTTTCTTCCAGCCATTTTCCTGAGCCTAAAGACTTCCTCCAAGATACTTTATTTCCAGTGACATTGGCATATAACCCAACTTCAGTCACCCCTTGCCTTGCACCCAAAGTTCCAGGGTGTGCCAGGCAGTGTCAGGCAAGTATATTCATTCTCAGTCCAATCAACAAACGTAAACTATCTGAACTGTCACTGAGATTTTATATCTTTCCCTTTCACTCTACGGCCTTATAGCTAACCAAGCATCTCAGGGGTTGGTTACACTAACAAACTGTTTTGTCATGACTACAATGGAGAATGGGGATTTAAGGAAGGTGTATCTTAATGTAGCACTACATTGCCACTTCAGCTGCTAGTATCATGCTACTGAAAATGTCAGATTTCTGTAAAAAAGCTCTGTACCTCCTTGGGTGGGACTGCCACCACCACAAACTAGAGAAAGAGAGCAGGTTATGGGCTGACGAATAATTGGAATTCAAAATTTACTTTTAATACCTGCATTAAGAATACAGGCAGATGTGGCAATTCCTGCAAAAAAGTAAACAGATATCCACAAAGCATGTTTGCACTGTCCATAGATCTTTCTACTGATTTCGCAAATGCTTAAAAGACTATAAAAATGTACATCATTATTTGTGTTGCGGATATTGTTACCTACAGGCGTACAATATTAGAGAGCTAGTGAGAAAATTGATCTCCTGACAGATATATCACATATTTTTCGAAGTTTAATTTTGAAGATCTTGGCATTTGTGTTCATTACGTGTACACACAGTCATTTTGCATCTACTAGAGACACAGCAGTTCTCTGCATCAATTATCTAAATGAAGACTGACACATTAATATTAACACCACATACTGTGCAGCATTATATGCACAAGTTGATTTAAAGCATAGATTGCAATCCACATCAACCACACACAAATCCAGTTTACAGGGGGGGGGGGAGAGAGAGAAACCAACCTCTTTAATACACAGAATAAAATGTTTCTATAACAGATTGTCCTCAAGGGTATTGGGAGGTAAAAGATCTTTTGAAGTATAGAGAGGATAGAGGAATCTCTTTTGGGTTATTCTCAACTTGAAGAGAGAGTTACTTTAACAGCTTTTTAAGAAACAAACTGTAGTTCAACACTATTAACGTCTTTTAAGACTGTGAAAAACAAAATATAGCAACATGTCCTTGAGTTAGGGATGCCAGCCTCCAGGTGGGACCTGGGGATCCCCTGGAATTACAGATCATCTTCAGGCTACAGGGATCAGCTCCCCTGAAAAAAAATGCATGCTTTGGAAGTGGACTCTATGGCATTGTACCCCACTGAGGTCTCTAGCCTCCCCAGGCTCCACCCCCAAATCTCCAGGAGGTTTCCCAACCTGGATCTGGCAACCCCACCTCCCCATTCCCTGCTAGTGGCCAGGGGGGGACCTGGCAATCTTACCTTGAGTGCAATATCAGGTTCAAGCACTGCATTTCCCCTACTCACAATAGCATGATAAATGCATTTTTTGTTTTGGTATTATTTCAGAGTTGGATATATTTTCATTTTATTTCAGGTTAAAACAACTTCCTGTTTCTAATTGTCATTCAACACTAATGACTATCATCTCTCTTTTCCCTGCTTCTATTTAAAACAGATATACTTAGTAAGGTAGTATTATGCTGGTATATGAATCCCTGTTTCAGGGAATTTTTTGTTATTGCTCAATAAAGCTTGAAACGTTGTTACAGGAAACACAATTAAAGCTTTAAAATACAGCACCTTTATCTTAAATGTTTGATTTCAATATTTTATTATAACAATTATTTAATGTGCATTATGCAACTTTATAAAGTCACTTACAAATTATGTTACTTATGAAATCATACATACCATGTTTTCAAATTAGAACAGCATTTCTATATGATCTGGACCTGAAGTATATTCACAACACACAGTTGTGTTGAACAACAGTATGTTACTAGGTGTGTCTTGTGAGATGGTAACAGGACTCCAAAGTTTTGCCTTCTGTAGATTTAATGCACCATAGCTAACCAGAAAGTTCCAAGCGGTTAAATATTCCTTCTCTGTATTGTGTGCGTTTGTTTGAGACTCTGGTGTGAGCAAACAATTATCAAGACAGGCAACTGAATGATATATTTCTGGATGCATTTCAGAAAAGTTGAACTCTGCCATATTAGTCTTATTAAGCCACACTGCTCAGTGTTGGTGGCACAAATGAAATTAGGCTAAGTATGCAAACTCCAATGATCTCTGTAAATGAAACTCCTGGTAGAAAAGCAGAAGGGTCTGCTGATGACATACTATTTCAGTTTTAGCATCCAGTACGGCTGCCAAGTCCAGGCTGGGGAATTTCTGGAGATTTGGGGCAGAGCCTGGTGAGGGTGGAATTTGGGGAGCTGAGGAAATTCAGCAGGGACCTGATGCAGGGTTGCCAGCCCCCAGCTCCCAGTGGGGGTCCCCCCACTTTTTGGGGCTCCAATCCACCACCAGCCAGTGGCCAGCAGGGGAAATCCCACCCCTAAACAGGGATATCGCCGGGTGACACCTCAGTAGGCTTGCCAAGTCCCCCGGGGGGGGGGGGGGGGGAAACCCCCACTCCAGAGGCCCGTTCCCCGCTGCCGGTGGATCAGGCCCCGGGGGGAGCCCCACCCCGACATGCGCGTCACCCAGAAGTGACGCGAGCACGCCGGGCACGCTGGGGGCGGGGCCACGGTCATCTGAGGGAAAACTCTATGGTTTTCAAGGTGTTGCGGCACAAAACCCGACTTGGCCACCCTACACCTCAGACACAATGACATCACTTTAGGGATGTCTGGGGGGTGATGCTGTAGTTTTTGGGCAAACTTTATGGTTTTGAAAGAAAAAAAAAAACATAAAAGTTTGCCCCAAAACTACAGTGACACCCCCAATGTGATGACTTCATTTCCAGGTGACATCATCACGCTCTGTGTGCAAAGCGTGTGTGGCAGAAGATCCCAGAAAGGACCCAGGAGCTCCCTGCTGGATAGAAGGTAGGACCTGACAACCCTAAACTGATGCCATATCGTCCACCATCCAAAGCTGCCATTTTCTTCAGTTGAACTGATCTTTTTACAGCAGATATTAGACATAACTCCATGAGATCTCCAGGCTACAGCTGGAGGGTAGCAGCTCTAGCATCTGTGTGTCTGGTTATCAAATATTGGCCTGTTTGTGGGCTTGCCCCCCCACCATATGCCCTATGTTGATTATATCCCTGGAGTAGTGGCCATTTTTATGAGGTATTATATATTGTACCAATAGAAATCTAGCTTTTAACTACCTGCAGCTACTGCAATGCAATAACTAATATTTAAGATAAGTATCAGCCGGAAATACTAAAAATCAACTGTTTCTAATATCACTAAATGCACTGAAATTGTTGTCTGAGCCTCATTAATGTCGGATTGAATTTGAATTACTACCAAGAGGTGACGAATACCTGGTAACCTGGGAGCAGAGGCCTATCATGGGGTCAGAATATATTATACAGGACAAAGTTCTTTCAATTATCACTCCCTAATGCTAGGAGACAGTGCTAAAATAAACAGACCTGTTTAACTGGTTCCTATCTGAGATTTCTTATGCTACCATTCAAGCAGAAGCACTGACATAAAATGACAATTAACAGCATTTGAAAAAGTTAAAAACCAAGCTAGACAATATGTTTGCAACCATCACCTACAAAGACTAGGTGAATACCAAAGAGTAGAATTATAAGCAGTCTCCCTATGCCACAGGAAATCAAGTCAAATACTCATTTCTTTATTGTTTCAATTTATATCCTGCCCTTCCTGTGAACAGGCTCAGGGAGGCTCACAACAATAAATGCAAACAATCTAAATTGATACAATAAATAATACAATAAAACCAGTTTAAAATTTAAGTAATTAAAATATTTAAAGTGGGTAGTACAATGTAATTAATTCCAATCACTACAGCCTGGAAAAATAAGTGGCCTGATGCCGAGCCATGATGGTCTCATGTAGCAGCAATAGGGAGGCCAGCTGGTGGATGCCCACTGCCTCAGCCAAAGACATCTGTTTTACAGGCTCTGTGAAACTGCAACCAGTCTCACAGGGCCCTGATCTCAATCAGGAGCATGTTCCACTGAAGAGGCCCTGGTCTGGCTGAGGCTAGATGGGCATCTTTTGGGCTGGGGACAACCAGAATATGGCTCTCCGCAAAGCGCAAGGCTCCCTGGGGCACATATGGGGAGAGGCGGTCCTAGGGATCCCAAGTTCCCCCGGGGGGCGGGGAAAACCCCGCCCCAGAGGACTGTTCCCCGGTGACGCCGGATCGGGCCCC